TTTTTCTGTCCCATGGGGACGATACAGGGAAAGCTGGGCTTTGTTTCCCACCTGCACCACTACGCTAGCTGCCTACATGGACTTCCCCATCCAGTCTGGTCCTGCTGCATCCGTTCTCTATTGTAGTGGCCGCGAGAGCACCTCCGGTATGTATCTGATCACCTTGCTCCTGCCTCAGTGGCTCCCAGCTGATTTCAGTACGGGGAACAGAACTTCATGAGTATTACAGGGCCCTTTATGGTTTGACTCCTGCCTAAATCTCCAGCTTTGTGTATACCCCTCTGGCCATACTGAACCCCTGCGATAGGGCCTGTGCAGTCTCATGTCTGGAATGGCTCCTTTTGCTTCTAGCTGCACAAGTGAGTTACCTCCCTTTCATCTGTCAGATCTCAGGTCAGGTGTCATATATAGGGAGCCTTCCCAAGACAAGGTTGGATCTCCTTGTGAGAGCTTGCATTGAACTGTATGCCTCTCTTCACAGCACTTCCTGCAATTGTGAGTTTATTTTTATCTGTATCACCATTCGATTAATGTTTGTTTCTGCAACCTGTCAGCTCTGGGGAGTCAAGGACACTGTTTCTGTATAATGACATGAATACCATGATAGCTGCAGAACCAAGTGCAGTGCCTGGTTTCAAGAGGGACTCAGTAATTAGGAGAGAATGAATAAATTAACGAAAGCCCCCTCAGTAGTTAGAGGGGACTCCAGTCATTTTGGATGAGAATAAGAAACCGAGTGTCTACTTCACTGTCCCGCAAGGTCAGAGCCGGCTGACTGGAAAGCCCTTCTCTCATCCCACCTCCCCGGTATCAGAAGATCTTAACTCTAGGATGTATGTAACAGAGGGACCTAGGAATGACACAGCCACAGGAAGACACTGCGGCTCCGGTGTTGTCGCTTTGAGAGTTTCCTTACCCTAACTAAGGCTGTGCCTGAGCAGATCATACAACTGTCTTTGAATGAAGTCATCCTGTATTTGGAGGGGCCGTTTACTTTGTATTCTGAGCTCATCTTAATGACTAATGACTGCTGTTCAGGCAGGGAGGGCTGCGTTTGTAGACAATGAGAGTCTCACATGGACCCACCTTAAGTTCATTGAGACAGGAGAAGACATCTCTACCTCCCTTCACCGTTGCAGAGCTGTCCCATCTCTGTGCAATCTCCTTTCTTGAGTGACCGTGTGGTATATACGCTAATATACTTGGTTCTGATACTCGTGCCCCTTCCTCCACCTCCTGGTGAAAGACATAGAGAAAATTAACTGGTTAACCAGCATTGTGAAATATTCAACCTCACTAGTAAGAGGAGACGTGAATTTATTTCAAAGCGACGTGGCCTCACCCCGGCTTTGTAGAATGAGCTGAGGAAGGAGCTAGGAATCTGGTTTAAACAAACCTCATGGGTGACTCTTGTAAAGGTTGAGAAACAGTGATCTGTTTGTAAGTTGCCATCTAGAGCAGTGCTTCTGGTTTCCAGTCCAGCCAAGTCACCTGGGGATTCTGATTTTATAGGTCTGGGGTTGGGCTTGAGAACCTGCTTTCCTTATAAGCATCCAGGCGATGCTGCTGCATACTTGAGTAGCAGGATCTTCTGGAACAACAGCTTTCATCCTGATTGCTCACCTAGAGGGCTTTTAAACTCCTGGTGTGTAATAGTTCTAGGATGGAGGCTGGACACTGGCACTTTTTTAATCTTTCCCCATGTTTTAAATGCGCAGTCTAATTATTAACTCGTGGCTCATCCTGTTTTGTCTGCGCCTCCCTTGGATTATTTTGAAATAAATCCCAGAGTGCATCACATTTCATTTATAAATATTTCAGTATGCACCTCTTGGAATTAAGGAATCTTTTTATAAATATAACCATAAAACCATTATCACAACTTCCAAATTTAATATTAGATCCTTAATATCATTCAGTACCCAGTGTTCAGATTTTCCCCATTGTTTTAGAAATTTTAAAAACAATTTATCTTTCATCTTTTTTATCTATTTTATAATTAATCAAGATTCAGTGAGATTGATATTTTGCAGTTAATAGGTTTCCGGAGTCTCTTAATCTATAAATCCTCACACCATCATTTATTTCTTGTAATTTTTCTTTTCAAGAAACCAGGCTATTTGTCTGATAGTTTCCCATAGTCTGGATTTTGATGAGCACATCCCCTGGTGATGTTTAAAATGTTGCTCCATCCCCTATGAATTGATTCGATTTAACTGCTTGCTCACATTCAAATTCTCATCTTTTCAACTCAGAAAATTCATCTTTCCTATGACCTAATACTTAAGAGATTTGCTTCACACATGCAGCATGCACACAAACACCATATGATTATTTTCATTGTAGTTCTTACATCACAGGTACCTTATTTCCTGCAAGGCTTTATTTCAGGCTCTTTGAGTGAAAGATCTTCACAGCTTCTTCGTGATAGAACTTAAGTGGGTTTCTTGTTAACAGAAGCTTGAATTTGCTAACTAGAGGATGAGATGTTATCCCTGTATATCTCTAATCTCTACAACTCTGAAAACCTATCTTTCCCACATTCCTTCTGAAAAGGTTTGTTGTTTTTATTTTATTACTTATTTATTTATTTTGACGCCTACAGCATCTGGTATTCCTAGGTGGTCTCCCATCCAAGTACTAACCAGGCCCGACCCTGCTTAGCTTCCAAGATCAGACGGGATCGGGCATGTTCAGGCTGGCATGGCTGTAGACAAGGTTTGTTATTTTTAGAACCTAAATTTTCCCATGTAGGAGCCGAAGTTACACAGCTTGGGGTCAGGTCCCAGCTCCACTAATGCTTACTAGTTGTGTCACCTGGGAAGGGCCTTAGGAGTGCTATGGCTCAATTTCTTTATCTCTAAAGTGGAACTAATAGTACATACTTCATAGTGTTGCTGGGAGGATTAAATGAATAATTCATGTTAAGTAATTAGAACAGAGCCTGGTATATAATAGGCACTTGAATGTTGTCAGAGCACTTGATAAAATGGGCAGTAGTCATCATAATTACTGGTTTTCATACAAGTCAGACTGAGCAACACGAGTGCTTATATCGTCCCTATACGATGAAAAAGATCACTCCCAATTTTGGAATTCATAAACTTTTAGATAACAGATTCCAGTCCTCATTCTGTGGATGAGGGCACAGAACCAGAGAGGTGGGGTAATTTACCTACCTTTACACAAAATCAGAGACAGAGCTAGGATTTGAATTCAGATTCCTGACTGATCTGGCCGGAGAGAGTGGATCTGCATTGGTTCTTAACAGGGAATATCGTCCGTTTCCTACCACTCTGCTTAGCTTCTTCCTGTGTTCATTAAAGTTGAGCTTTCATATTTGGCGAATTAACTCTAATACTAAAACTGATGACATCTCTTTCTTCTAGGTTGCCAGCGTACTTTGTCGTCCCCACCCCTCTTCCTGAAGAGAATGTGCCACGCTTTCAGGGTCATGGCATACCAGTAAGTGCATCTGGAAACCTTAACAGCCTTGGATTGCTCATCAGCCCATCTTGGCAAAGTGTTCTACTTAAAGTCTGTGGCTTTGGTACTAAAGAGTTTGTCTTCAGTCCAAGAATGATCCAAAAATATCTTAGGGACTCCCCAGAGGAGTCTCTTAGACATGACGCTCCCTGGGACAGAGTTCTAAAGTTTTCACAGACGCTCTGCAGTTCTTAGCAGAGACATCTTTAAAAAGCTTTAAGAGGATTACAGATACGTCTGGTGTTGAGAGCCAGCCTGATTTAACGCCTAAATCATTTTGAGGCCGAGCCAACCACTCTAAGGGTAGTAGGGTTTAAGATACTTTTTGGCCTGCATCATTAATCTTCGAATGGGTGTGGCTGTGTTTTTTTCTGGGAGACAACAAGGAGAGCTTACTGAGTTTTCACAGAATAGACCGGGATGGGAGCCATATTTAGTGTGTCACTGATCAAAGAAAGCAAGACTGGCAGGTACTCCAGTTTCTAATGGGCTGTTGGGAGTTGCCAAGCCTGCAGGAATTTAGTGAGGAATGAGAATTACAAATAAATGCTGTGCACATGGCTGGTTGACCAAAAAGGTCACTACTGTATGGGAGGTGAGATGTGTAAGTGGGGGTCACATGCCCAGGCCGGGCAAGTAATGAGCGTGGGCATTGCAGTGAACCAGAGACCCTGTGCCTGGTCGAAGGGGCGGCTGCTCTGTGTTAGCAGGTTCGTGCTATGTGGAAGTATGGGCCTGGTCTTGTCAGGTGTCCTGATTTCTCAGAGCAGCCAGAGATAGGGATTTTTTACCTGAGGTTTCCTGATTTCTAAATGTATTCATTTGCTTCAGACTTTTTTAAAAAATCATGTCTTTGGGCCCGAGTTGGCTCATGTCCACCAGTTTGCAACCTTTACTTAGAGCAGTGGTCCTGACACTTCCTGGTCTCAGGACTCTTTACTCTCTTAAAAAGTACTTAGGGTCTCAAAGAGTTTTTGTTTATGAGGTTGTGTCTGTTGATATTTGCCATATTAAAATTAAAGCTAAAACGTTAAAATTTTACTTGAGGAAGAAACTCATTACATACTAACGTAAATAACATATTTCTCTGAAAAATGACTATATTGTCCAAAATGGAAACAGAATATGTTTTATATTTTTGAAAATAGAAGATAGCTGCATTCTTTTATCTACTTCTTTCATTCAGTCTGTTATGATATGTTGGAATTTGGTTGAAGTACATGAAGAAAAATCCAGCATCATACAGATGTGCATTTGGGAAAGGAAGAAATATTATATAGCCTTTTCTGATAATTGAGAATATTATTCTTTGATGATACACCAAAAAATTGATAAGTGGTACTTTCATAAAGATTAATTTGAGAACAATAAAACTTTATTCTCTGCTAAATTAAAATTAATTGATCTCTGACTGGATCTTAAAATATGCATGATTTTCTATCATCCAATGGTCATTTGGAAAATATTAGTTCTCTAGGTAATAGAGATCATCCAAATATTGACATGTTTCCTTATATAATATAAAAATAACATTTAATTAACATCACCCCTGTCTCATCAGAAAAGTCTTTAAATATTGAGAAGCTGTTCAGCTAGAGGCTGAGGCTAGTTTACCAAAGTTCTAATTTTTACTTGAGAGTTTAGTTTTTATCATTGGCAACAAGTCGTCAGTTGTTTTCTTTGAAGTGATAGACCCACTTTATTCATTTTTCCCTAAGAATGAATGTGTATGCTAGTTACCAAAGTCTGAATGTCCATAGTTTCCCTGTCAGTTATTCTTTCAATTCCACAAAAAAGCATCTAGTTTAGTTCTTAATTCAGTCACATAGGTGCTTTTCCTTAGAACAAACATGGTACTTCACTGTACTTACCTCCCATTCCGTCACACAGAATACTAAAAGGGCATGTAACGGTCAAGATTAATACAATAATAATTTTTAGTCCCTCATTGAGGACATCATCAGGTGAAACAGAATGTATTTTCTGCACGTGCATGGCAGTGAAGAATGCAGTGGCCTGTGCCGTTTGGTAGCAGGGCCTTGACTGGTGCTAAGGTGCCGGCAGTTTCATCCACCAGTGCCATCGCCCATCAGTGCAACTGTCAACGCAGAGCAAAAGGCACATTACGTCTTAGTATTATTGTCAGCACACCTGAAAGGACACTGGGTTCCACTTCCAGGATCTGTAGACTGCTTTTTGAGAATTGCTATTTTAGAAGAATAAGCATGAGGGTCCTCAGCCTTTCACAGATGAATCTAGGAAAAGAGGGTGTGCTCTGCAGGAAGACACGAAGATGAATTGTCTGCCCATGTGGGAGCGGGCTAAGGAACATTGCTATAGATTATACCAAACGACACAGCGTACTTAATGGGGTACCCGAAAACTGCTACCTTGCCTTGCTTGGGCCCTTGTCTGCTCAGCAGTCTGTTGTTTAATTCCTTTTAGTTTCTGCATCATTCTTCCCTGGGGGCTGCTGCAAACATTTTTTCATTCTCTTTTTAAGTTTGTGATACCAGTCTTTTTAACTCTTGGCAAAGATCTTTTTCCTCTAGTGGGATCTTGGACAGCAAGCGACAAGACTGCCCTCAACTTTCTTTTTTTCCTACCTCCTTTGGTTTCTCTCTATGCTTCCTCTTCATCTCAAAGCCAAATCTCTGCCTGGACCCTTGGTCCCATCTGCCCTTACTTTGTCTGGAACCTGCTTCCGTCAGTCCTCCCCCTTCTGCGTGTGTCTTTTCGCACATTCTGCTCTTCTTGCAGCATCCTCAGGCCTCCGCTAACCCGAAAAAGCCCTTCCTTAAGAGTCAAGCTGCTGTCTCTTTCTTCCCTGTACTGCTAACTGTACTTAGAATCTGTACTAATTTTCTGTTGTTGCGACTACTCCTTTCTTGCAGCATGACTTCTCCTCCCCCTGTTCTGCTAAGTGACCCTCCAGACATTGAGCTTTTGTGGCCCCTGCTCTCCGTACATCACTACGGTTTCAACACTGATTACGTCCTCGCTCGTTCTGCTAAGTGACCCTCCAGACATCATTGAGCTTTTGTGGCCCCTGCTCTCCATACCATCACTACGGTTTCAACACTGATTACGTCCTCGCTTTTCTTGCCTTTTAAATTCCTGTATTGGCTTTGGAGACACTGCGGTCATGGTCCTCTTACGCCCTTAATAGCGCCTTTCCTTACTTCCACTGCTTTCTAGCCTCCAATTTTACATGTTCCTCTAAAGCTCTGTCTTTGGTTCTATTAAGAGAGACACTGTAAGATGTATGAAATAATGAATAATCTCCCCCCTCTTACTTTTTTTAGATAAACTGTGCTTCTTGTCTGTTGTCAAGTCATTCATATTAAAAATCCTGTGGCCCTTTTCCCAGACAGAAATTGTACGTATTACAATAGGGGAAGATGAGTGCTTTTTGCTAAATCCTGTGAGAATCTTTCTCTGACCAAGAATTTCGCTTGTTTCCTGTTTACTGTTTTAAATAGAGGGTAGTAAGAGAATTGCCCCATGGCACCTCAGCTAAGCTGAGATGGTTATGTTTGTGCCCCAAATAGCAAATGAGTTATGGTTAAATACCACCAAAAGCCACCTTTTCTGCCCCAAGAGAGGAGATAAAAAGGATTAAGAACACTTAATTTCTTAGAACTTGCCACCCAGTCATGGCTAGGACTTTCTCTCCTTTCATCAGAGTGAGCAGCACCAACTAGGGGGGCATTTAGAAAATTGCCAGAGGACTAAAAACTGTGGTGATTTCTTCACACTGCTTTGCATGACATTGGGAAAGGGAATACGAGGACAGCAGAGAGGGCCCTTTGAATCGTCTCCGCGTTCTAACGCTTCCGCCTTGTTATGAATCTTAAAGTACCACCAGGCCCTCGGGGGGTGGGGGGGGTCAGCACTTGTTGGCAGTTTCGAAGCAGCTCTGTGTCCCTCTGCCCTTGCTCCCTGGATGGGCTCGCATCTCTTCCACGTCAGCTGGCAGTCAGCTGTCATTACCAGAGCTCCAGCCCTACCTCCTTCTCCTCAGCTACATAACCCTCATCTTAGGTGCCTCTTGAATATCGTCACATAGATGTTCTATTGGCACTAGACATCGAACATATCCAGTACTGAATCCATCATCTTCCCCTGAAACCCTAAACTGGTTCCTCTTTCTGACTAAGTTTAGTAGAGTATCACCTGGATTGTGTGCTGGTCTCTAGTTTCCCGGCCCAGGCTGCTGCTAGCGTATCCAATGTGTGGTTTATACATTAGAGAAGAATGGCAACAACGTGTCCCCTTTGGGAAGCTGAGATCTTCTAGTTTTACCTTTGAGCCAGGGCCAAGCGCAGGGCAGGGGATTGGCTTTAGCCAGACCTTTGTACGGGACAGAGTTTACAGCCGTACTCACTTGTCTCAACCAGCCTCGCCCTCTCCTCCATTCCAGGCACCGCGGGCAGATTACTTTGCCCTAGGACCATTTCTCTTCTCCATTTGTTCCTGTGAAACAGAGCAAACAAAACTATATCTAGAAAAACCGAAACTTGTCACCTATGCTCATTCACACGATTTCTTCCTCCTCTGCCCTCCCTTTGTTGTTTCTTGAAATTCTCTTCTGTGGTTTACCACCTTCTACTTTACTATATTTGTAAACTTATTTCCCTTTTAGAGTTTCAGCTCCTTGAAGGTAGATGTACAGTACCTCAGCCCTCTACATCCTCCGACAACCTAACTCAGTGCCTTGCACGTGTCTTCTCATTTCAATATGTGTTGAACAGCCCACTTTCTGTTCTGTTGTGAACTTTCTCTCATGACAGGAGCTGCCCGCTTTGTGCCATCCGGGCAGAGTACGACCTTTAGAGTCACACTGTTGCGGCTGTCTGTGAGTTAATTCATGCCAAATCCTGACATGAGAAGCTGCACTCCAACTATAGCTACTGTCCTAAAAGTATTAATCATAACGCTGTTGTTGTCACGTAGGTTCCCAGCCCTAAAGCCAAGTTCAGAGGTATATGTTAGACCATGAACAGGTCTGAGTGTGTCTGCCTCGACCTGTTTTGTTTTTTAAGACTAAATCAGACTTTTTCATTGCAGGTAGCTTTCATTGGCTTAAGAAAGTTGAATATATCCAGCCATTTTGTACTGAAGCTATAAATTTTCCTGTATGAATTTAAATGCTAAGCTTACCTGTTCCCTGTTGGATTGTGTGTATTATATTTAGAAAACCTTTATTCCCCTCTGCAGATATGGTGTTGGTCCTGCCACAATGGATGTGCCCTTTTGAAAATGTCAGCACTACCCAAAGAACAGGATGATAGTATTTTACAAGTCCAAAAGAGCTTCTTGGATGGGTCAGTACTGTTTAACATTTTGTTATTGTTCAGCTCAGTTCTTGTTTTCTGAGAAGCAGGGAACAGTTCTCAGTAGTACGTGCATTTCTGTTTACCTCTGATAGCTTAGTGCTTGGGAATACAACTTAGAGTGGTCATTTGAATTACTTGGGAAGGAGTCAGTATAATGTAATCATTAAGAGTGTCAACTGCATCGTTTTTAGAGGTGCTGAAAGCATTTATGGGGAAGTGGCACGATGTCTGTAATGTTAACAGTTGTGGAAACTAGGTCATGGTATATGTCAGTGTGCTATTTTCTAGTTTTCTGCATGTTTGAAAATTTTCAAAATAAAAAGTTAAAACACCGAAATAGATAAATTAAAACAGAAAAGGAGTAGACTTTGGAGTTAAATTGCCTTGGTTCACATCATGGCTCGAACAGTTCGTAAACTTCATAATCTTGGGCCAAGGAGTTCCAGTCCACACACCTCCACCTCCACCTCCGTTGACTGGGACTGGCGGTGCCGTGGTGGCAGCCTCGTCGGTGAGCGTAATTGGGCGGGAAGCGGGGCGGGTCTTCACACAGGTCTCGGCACATAGTGGGTGCACATAGGAGAAATAAGCTATTTCTAGTTCTCGTCCGCTCTTGTAATCTCTCGTTATTTTTTGACACCTAGAATTTACAGGATCATCCACAGACCACCCTATGAACTTGTCAAAACTGAAGACCTTTCAAGCAACTTCGTATCCCTGCAGGACATCCAGACTGCATACTCTAAATTTAAACAGCTGTTTCTGATAGGTGAGAAGAATGCTGAGCAAAACCTTTCTGTCAAATGGGGAGAGACATGCCGCGTGGATCAGGTGAAAGTTGGTGCCTTTCCCCTGGGTTCCTTCTGGTCGTACGTAGAGCTTCACGGCTGTCAGGGTTGATGGCATGGAGTGGAGCCGGCCGCCACTGCCTCGCTTCCCCCTCGATCTTTCTTCTGCCCTTTGCCACCTTTCCCTTTCTCTCCTTCCCTCAGCACACCGGTTGCCCAGTGGTGAGCAGTGGGGCTTCTCTGTTTAAAAGTCATAGAATTGTACAGTACGTGTAGTCACTGGCTTGTTTGCAGTGATTTATAAAGTAAATGATCTGTTTGTTTTCCTCGGTGGTTTATTAAATGGACTCCCCTTCCAAGTGGAAATATTTTCCTTTTTTTCTCCCTGAATGAATATATATACAACCATGTAAAAACAATCAGAAATGAACAAAGTAGAAAATGAGATATGCCCATCCCAGCCACCCCCAACTTCCCTGCCCAGGCTACCCATGATGAACAATTTAGGACTCGAATCATATTTAATACAGCTCAGTTGGCTGTTGCGTCTCTTCATTCTTGAATAAATCTTTACCGTCTGAGATTTCACACTTACGGGTCACTTTTCCTAACTCAGACCTTTAGCCTAGCAAAGCCTAACTGTTAATTTCTTCAGCCAACATTTACTGAATTTCCATTATATGTACTAACTATACGAGGCACTGGAGAGAAAAATGAATACGACACTGTGATGTGTCGTATGTGTTATAAGATGCTGTGATGTGTTATAAAGTAGATTTATAAAAAGTAGGGACCTGGTGGAGAGCGTAAGAAATTTTACTGGTTGATACAAGATCGTGATTCTCTACTTTGTTTTCATCACCCAGGACTTAGAGGAGTATCTGCCTTTTCATTGGTTTGAGGTTGCAGCTTTGAAATATATTAGACTTCTATAAAATGTGGACTCTCTGTATCAAGTAGGTTAAGGGATCGTGTGATGGTTTGAAAGGTAAATATATTTCTGTATTTAGGATTCCAGTGGGAGCTGAGTCTCCCCCTTGGGCCTCTGTGGCATCAGAATGTATCCTGTTGGGTTTTCCAGTTTTAGGAGCAGCAGCCTGAACGTCAATGATTTCTGCCTGAAGCCTGTTATTCTCCTTGTTGAATTTCAGGGTGGATCGTGGCTCTGATACATATTGTAAGGACACTTTTTATTTGAGCAATAAAAATATGTTTTTGACTGCCACACCCTTCCAGGGGCTTACAGTTCAAAAACTATTTCAGCTTAAGTTTTCGAATGCCCTTTACTTAAAACAGATTTGTACCTGGATTTGCAGTTTAATCTGGGGCTGTTCATCTGAACAGCATGGTTGAGTAGCACAGGTTTTTCGTGGCAGGCGTTGGAGGAAACCACCTGACTTCTTTACTCTTTTTTCTTCTTTCAGATAACAGTACCGAATTTTGGGACACAGATATAAAATGGTTTTCTCTCTTGGAAAGTAGCAGCTGGCTTGACATAATCAGGTATTTCAAGCCACTGTTTTGCTTGTGAGATTTATAGTTTTCTAATTCAAAGTAGTAAAGCAAATTGACAAATTTAACTATTTTATATTAGACAGTTAAATATTCTTAGATCTGTTCAAGGCTCAGCTAGATTTTACATTTGTTATTTGTTTATGTGCAGAATTTACAGACATGCTACTTGCTCACAAGGAGATCTACTCTCGACTATAGTCTAGGCATTGAAAGACAGTGAAAAAGAGGGTGAGGCAACCCAGAATTCTGAGGCTCAGTGCTGGGTCTCCACAGGGGCATGAGAAGGGGAGGGATGCCATATTAGAAGAATTCCATGTCTTTCGTGTATATTATCGATTTAAAAATTTTTTTAAATCATAATTAGTGTCAATTAGTCATTTGGGTTTTTGGAATTAGGTTTGAGATTCCAAGAGCACAGAATTCTAAACCCTCTCCTACTTCATATTTTGAATAGCTCCTCTCTGTTGCCATTAAATAGAGCAAAGGAAGGCACAGAACAGAAGTGATTACGGGGTGAGAGAATAGCCCCAATCCTGGGATACGCTTGAGGAAAGACGGGAATTCTTCCTTGTACTAGCTCGGC